TGCCCATAAGATGAATAATAATGATGACAATAATAACATATTCAGGCTGAAGATAGAGTAACATATTTAGTGTGAGTAAAGACAAATTATACAGAATGACATTGCGCCTGCAATTACTGTATACTATAATGCGATATTCAGGGAAAGGTATGATACTTTTCCATATAATAATAATAATTTAGATTTGACATTATTGAAAATCGTCACTATGAGTCCAATGGGCTTTTTTACTTTGAATACTTGGGATACTATATACTTATAAAAGCTCAGACTGTTGTTATACCTTGAATCCAAGCCATGAACAGTATTCATGGGTTTCAATACGTGTGTGTGTTATATCTCGAAGAGATTTATGGATGGTAATCTTTGAAGACTATTTATGGACTAATGCGATGTGCATATTTCCTATTGTATAATTGTTAAGTAACTTAGGTATTCATATTCGTGTCCCTGGTATCATAAGCTTTATTTCGATTTATAGACTATTATTGTATGATTTACCATTCTTGAGTTATCCCTTGTCCATTAATTACTGTTCCCCCTATTCACAGCCACATTTGGCTGAATCTTGTACAAATTTTATTTTCTGTTTTATGGTACGATGTGGTCTGTTTGATCGGTATATAAACCCAGTATGTTTGTGAATAATGATTCATATTGCAGCGGCTGTTATTGGTGTTCTGGACTTAACTGTCTGGGCTAGGCAGAAAGCACGGCCGATACGCACTCTAGAGTGCTCTTACGGTTTTCGTGTGTCACTGTCCCAATCGATAATTCACTGCTCTCTGATTGACGGTCTCATAACGTCATATATATCACTTGGGCAAGAACGTACGCATGCACACGATATAATAGTTTGTATAGAACCAGATTTAAGTTACGGCTGTGGCCGATGTGAATAGATCCACTTTTATCATTAATCAGTGAAAAGTTTCACAACACAGTTCAGCCGCACAATTTGTTTGCGATTTCTTCGATTACCTCTGAAATATAGCTTTTGTTGGCAGGAGACGAAGATGAATGGACCATGTTTGGGTTGTGGTGGATCAAAAATTACATGAATTGAAAAATGACAGGAAAGATATTTTGTCCAAAAGTTAACGTTATAATATGTCAATTATAACTTATGAACACAGAGAAATGTTACAGTATGTTATTTAAATCGGTAAGCTTAGGCGTATTGGAGTTGCGTTTGGTACCACAATCTACAACTGTAGGTAATTAAGGGTAATGTTTGCCCTATTGAAAAAGAAAATACATGTCACCAACGAAGAGGAGAAAGTAACGGGGCAGTCACATTTTTTTGTGTACCTCCACTGGTTATGTTCATAGGCTTGCAGTAGCAAGATCCAAAGCGAACTTTCTGTCAAAACTAGATTTGGACCAGAATAGTAGGGTATCCTGTGGAAGGCTTTAGAAAGTTGTGTGAGACTCACTAAAACAGAAGTAAAGAATTATCACTGATAGACCAAAATCTCTTCGTTATGTAATTTGATTGAAAAATGCCAGGTGAGATGCGGATCATGAGCGTCTTGTCATCGACTAATGTACATAAAAGCTAATGAGGCTTGCCGAAAGTAAAAATGACAGTAGCTCCTTGTTGACGATCTTTTCCAAGATTCTTGGTAACACGGATATCAAGTTAATGGGTCTATAGTTAACAATATTGCTACGTGATTCCGCGTTGAATCTTGGGATGACAAGCGATGTTTTTGCAACAGCTTAGGTTGATTAGTCAAGAGTTGATCTCAAACAAATAAGTGTCTAAATAAAGATATATTCACTATTAGTCTTGTTTCTTCTATCAAAAGAACGATGGTCACCTACAAGCAAGAAATTTTTCAAAAAGATGGATAAGCTTCGTAGTTCATGAACAGGGTGAATAGTTTCAAACAGAAAAATGGTATTTCTTTGCTATCGTACTTCACGAATGATCTACGAATCCCATCATGTTTATCGTCATCAAACGTTTTCAATGAGGTTATAGCCTAGCGATGTTGGGAGATATAAATGCAGTGGCGGGTAGATGTCTAGGTGCCAACATTGAAAACGTATTGGCAGAGGTTTTGGTTTCAGTGTTGTAGCATCGCAAGGAATGAGAGTTAAATCGTTCATAAATTATATCAGGGTCGTCTATATTTCTGCCATTAATAATTAAGAATCTGGTTGTATTAGGAGAATCCAATTTCACACTGGGTTTGAAAAGCTGAAGTATCTACAAGTCTGGATTTTTGTTCACTAACTCTTTATTCTTCATAAAAAATCATTTCTGTCGATTAACTTAAGTACAGTATACAGCGTATACAAGTCATGGTGGTTTTGATAGCCACGCTTTAATTTTCTCTGATTTCCATCAAGTTTTAAAAGTATTTTAGCTCCTATTTACGCTCTAAATGAGCGAAGCAGTAATACATCAACTTGAGGTATGTGTGGAAAAGCGCAGTGTCAATGATATTTGTGGTGAAGTACGATTCCCATGGTAAGGATTGAATAAAAGTTTTAGTTCCATGTTTTTTTTTATTAAACTGCCTACGCTGATACTATTTTGAAGCTTCAGAGTGCCTTTTAGTTTTCAATTGTGGTCTGATTGAGGTCTGTCGGTGATGGACACCGGTTAACTAATGTCAAACAAATAGGTTCCACATATCTAGTCTGGCAATCGATAGAGAAGTGTTAACTATCTGTATGATCAGAGGTTCATCAAATAAGACAGTAACCAGCAGTGTTTTAACTTATGAAAACAATTTAACCTCCGAGGATAGCCAATCGTAAGTACACTCAGGTTAGGGCTTGTAGCATAGTTGAAAAGCTCTCCTCGTAATGAAGTGGGCCCAGATGACGCTTTTCAGTACCACAAAGTACCAGAAAGGACATAAGTACTTTTTAAAAAATTGTACCTCAACTGCTTGGCAAACTCCCTAATGTTGCTGGAGCCGGGTAACCAAACTAATCGAATTAGACTCTATCAAATATCTGGATCTATTCCACAACATTGAGGAACCAGTTCTGAGAAATCAATTGGTCCACAACGCCCCGTCCCAAGCACAATGATAATTTGTTTCCTTATGGAGCATCTTGAATTTTATTGGTGGATGCCGTCAGTGTTTCCTAGACAATAGTTTCAAATCGATTACTGATATTAGGGTTTTGACCCAATAATTCACCTTTCTAGAAAATGTGGCTCAATAGCCCTGCGGGACCATATCGAGGTCCCTCCAGCTTAGATTACACTATCCCTAATCATGAAACAGAATTTGCAAACTTATTAATCTCAGGGCGCTTTGAACACGTCATGCCCTCATACCGTTCTGTATCGTTGCAAATGATTTACTATATCAATATACAAAGTACCAAAACATTTTCCAAGCTCATTACGACACTGTGAGGGTGAACTTTGAAGATGTATCCTATCCAGACGAGACTGAATCTGCCAACCTGGCCGGATAGTGGAATCTTCTGGTTCATCTGTGAACCCATACTTTTTTCTATCATGCATCAAGCCCCTCCTGGCTAAATTTCAGTATTCCAAAACTCATCGGGAATAAGCCTACTGCATAGAACAACTGACGTTGCTCCAGTGATTGGTCATATCAAATAATGTTACGATACACATGCATTGAGCAAGTCAAATGGGACAGAAAAAGTCATCAGTACTGTTTAACGGGGTCTGTGGACAAAAGTCATAAGTTTTAGTACTATTTATTGGAGCAGAAGATGCACATTTCATTGGATAGCCTGGATCGGGATTACTCGACAATACACCGTTCTCATTACAGAGTTGTTAAGCTGCCAGCAAAATATTCAAACCCAAATATTCTTAGTGCGTTATATTCCTACTCGGTGACTCTCGTTCAGTCTTTTCTCATTCTGATCCAAAATCCTAGAGAGTATCAGGCACTTCAACCCAGATGGATCTGCTGGCTTGAGTGGAATCTACTGTCCTAAAGATTGTGCAGCTCCGATCTGCTTCCCCCTCGCTGATCTCTTTGTGTGGTTTTTTAACTAGGAATCGGCTACCCTCATACTACAAGCATGGTCGTAATGTTTACGGTACACAAGCAGAGTAGCAAGTCGACGATCTACAATTATAGACAGATTTCCATGTTCATAGGCAACCAGTTAGTGAACGCTGGTTTCGCTAAAGAAGATCATTTGACACAAGCTTACTGACTCTATTAATGGAACCAGCAATTTTCCCCTCACTACCACTAGATACAGAATGCTAATAGTGAATAGAAGTGATACTTTAACCAGCTCGTGTTTTCTGGAAGATAGCAGTGTCACACTTTCTAACACTGTAAAGGACTTAGGGATCATTCTTTGTGATACTCTAGGTGTCGCATCCACTTGACCCTCTGTAGTCAGCAAATCATACTGTATTAGGGTTTGCTTCCAGGCAGGTTAAAATGGTTGTGTCTACTAGTAGTGGATCACTGGTTACTCCCGGTAGAGACGTAGATATATTTAACAAATAAGATGGGAATATTGATAAGTTGGTAAGAAATACTGTGGTAAGTCCCCAAGATTAATGAAGTCCCTCCTGAAAGGACTTTCAGGGAGTTTTATGAAAGACCTCAACTGTTGAAAACTTTTAGTGCTTGACTACTCACTAATACTAGGAGATGTACCTGCAATCCAGTTTGGTGTATTGCATCTCTAATTTCTGGATATCGCCTCTAAGATTTGTGTTGGAACTGGGGTAGCCTGAATTCTCAGTCCTTATTCAAGAAATCATCATCTGGGCTATACCTTCTTACTTAAAGAAGGACGCCTCTTTGTTGAACAGGTTGAAGCAGAGGCAACTGAAAGGTACTGGGACTGGAAAGTAAACCCTACTCAGCTATTTTTGAAGCTCTGTACTTGCGACATGTGGATAACAGAAAGATTAAGGGGTATATAAATACGAAAAATAATACCGCCCAAATCATTTTTTCCTCAGCGGATCAACAATCTGGTTTGTCACTGAATTAAATCGAGGAAGATATTCATTGAAGATAGAACACGAATGATGTGACACAGAACTTCTCACAAACACTTTCGCTGTCGGAACCATTGCTTATGAAACTCCTTAACAGAGGCAATAGTAGCGGCACCTTTCCAGAGTTTTTTAAATCAGATATCGACGCTAAGTTGAGTTCTGTAGGTGTAAAGGATGATTACTCAGTATTACTTTACAATTGCACTATTAATAACTAGCTCGTTTCACGCTTTATTTTCAAAAGAAGAATAAGAAAAACCATACATTTTCATTACGTAGAATGCTCCTGCCACATATACATTGATCTTAATGAACAAGTACTTCGCTATTTCCATCATGCAGAATTTTAGGTTTGAGTTTTGAAGACCTAGACATACACAAGCGGCAGTTTTGGTTTCTTCCCTAGTGTGTTTTTTTTGGGTGTTCGTTTTGTTGTAGTTTGTCCTTTATGTCCATTTGAGGTCGTAGTAACTCATTTTGTTTATCTTTTGGTTTAATGTTCCAGATTTATCTAAGTTGGTCATCTGTTATATTAAACAAAGATATAATTCTATCCTTTTGTAGAGTATTATCTCTTGGTCTTCAGTTACATGGACGTGTTATGTATTGTCTAAAAGGTTTTTAGACCTTTAAAAGCTTCCGGTTGTCGGTGTGCTGTGGTTTCGACCCCCTAGTTGTAATACTCCTTAGGAATCTGATCCATAATGGGTGACTAAACATGAATAAACATGTATTTATTGCTACTTTGATGACCGGTATGGATCGTAATATATTTAAAAGTGTCACTTGTCATAAGGTTTCAAAGGGTCACCATATTTGGACTCCTAAAAAGGCTTTTAGTGTTATTTTGTCAAGGTTATCTTGAGATCTCAGTAAATTTACTGATTATAGGCTGCTTAAATAGTTTAAGAATTTATTAACCTTATCTAGTTTCCTCGGCTTCGATGTAAAATCATCCTCAAGGAGTACTAGTACGTCTTTCCTCACTTCCATTCTTTGATTTGGGAATGTAAATTGGTTTTATTGCCATTATGTAGGGTCACTAATAATTTGTTTCAAACCTGTCTGAACTTTCATAAAACCTAAAGATAGATTCTTCTGATTTGTATATACATAGATCTAACTTCATACATATTTAGCGACCTAAATCGCTTCCTTTTTTCATATCCGAATGAGGGTTTAAACTTAGCTATACCTGATCTCTACCGCTACTGGTGCTATCACCATATCTACTATTCTGGTACATGTCTTACCAGTTTAGTTCGTTGTGTTAATGTGGTGTGTTGCGTGACGGGCCCTCTAATGTTCTTGCTTTCAACTAATGATTTATAAACAGGGATCCAAGTCATCAAATGTATCATTGTTAATTGCATTGATCTCGTCGTACTTATCCGTTCAAATGAAAGATTCACAATTTCGAACCTAATTACACATTATTATTCTTTGGAACATTGATTAATATTGGTGATAGGTTGATATTTATGTTTATAGACTTACTGAGTAGTACTAAATATATCATTTTTTCTGTTAGTAATCATTTGCGTATCATTACTCGATAAATGGCTAATCGCACAGTCAAAGATGCACATACAGTTCATGGGACAAATCCTCAGTATCTTCTGGAGAAAATTGTTCGAAGTCGAATTTATGAGTCGAAATTCTGGAAAGAGCATTGCTTTGCTCTTACAGGTATATTGAATTCATCTTTTACTTTGTCTTATCGAAAGCTGAATTACTTGTCGATAAAGCTGTGGAACTTCGTTATGTTGGTGGTGTGTATAGTGGGAGTGTTAAACCAACTCCTTTTTTATGTCTTACATTAAAAATGCTTCAGATTCAACCGGACAAAGATATTGTCATCGAATTTATCAAACAGGAACCATACAAGTTAGTTTGTGGTTCGTAAGAATGTTTTTATGTTGTTCAGATACGCTCGTGCTTTAGGAGCATTTTATCTTAGACTGGTTGGTGATTCTGTTGAAATATACAAATATCTTGAAACGTTGTATAACGATTTTCGGCGTCTTAAGTTCCAAGATAAAATGGGAAGTAGGTTACATTTTTCAAAGAGTTACGATGAAAATTCTTTCTTTGTGTAACAGATTTCAGTTTGATTTACATGGATGATTTTATTGATCAACTTCTTACTGAGGAACGTGTCTGTGATGTTATTTTACCTCGTTTACAAAAACGTGAAGTTCTTGAGGAGCTAAATGGTTTAGAACCACGACAATCACTTCTAAATGAAGATTTAGAAGATTTACAATATGTTGAGGAGCTGGACACGTTGAATCATATTGAAGAGAGTTATAAGTCTAAGGACAAAGAAAAACATAGGAGACGAGATTATGGAAAAGACCACCATCATCGACGTAGACATCGTGAAGAATCTCCTCATGCTGAACGTAGAGAAAGAGATAGAGACCATATATCATCAAGACATAAAGATCGTGAAGACAATGAACGCAAACATGATCGTGATAAAGCTCATAGGTAGGTAAAAATGATTAAAGTTAGCATTCTCATTGAAATACGATACGATTTCCATGTTAGTATATCAGTCTCTAAATGATGATGCGAACATTTTCAGTAGTAATATCATGGTATTGTTAAAGTTTTATGGTAGTTTTATTACTCGCAACTTGGGTTTTCATTGGTAAAACTCTTGATATCAGTATAAATGTTATCAGTTGAATAGGTAAAAGTGGGATTGTTGAATTAAAGTACATCAGCTCAGTCGCTTATGAAGGAGCGACTTTTCTCAGCGATGTTGTTTGTGAAGTTGAGAAGACGAAAAGCGAATTTCTGGTGCTTTATCGGGATAGTGGATACGGAGGATCTACCTAGAAGATTTGGAAAACCCTGATCCCAAACCGATGGTGCACATGGGTTTCAGGATCCTGAGGGAACAAAACGCGTATGAACCTATTGTTGGTCACGGGCTACCATGAGATTGTATCTTCTAACGTTGCTCCAATGTAGATTAGACCTCTAGGTCAAAGACTCGGATGTAGTAAGTGGCTGGTGACTAATGCTCAAGTAGGTAAACTAAGCGAAAGACACGTGGGTGTATCTTATGGTATCGGGGCTCAAAGAACAGATAATGGTGACCATCTGTTGCAGCTATGCTCAGATAACCGCCTGTTTCTTGCAAATACTAACATCAAGCACAAGGAAAAACATCTTTTGACATGGCGACCCCCGAATTCGTCCCAACGTTGGACCCAACTAGATTACGTCGCTATCAGCCACTGATGGGGGGCTCGATAGAAGACTGTCGCTCATTTCGTGGTACATGCTTAGATTCAGATCATGCTCTAGTGCGAGCACGTATCTGTCTGCGTCTTACCGGACGTAGGAAAGACGCTTCAAGGAAGCCTCTTAAGGTTCTACTTAATGATAGGCTTGCTAAGAATATATTTCAGGAACAACTAGAAAAACAATTAGGCAGCCATGTAAGTTGTGCCCACCCCGAGGCAGCGTGGAATGACATCCGAAAAGCTGTGGAAACAGCAGTGATATCTGCTAGTACGGTAAACTATAATGTAAGGGAGAAGCACTGGATCTCAGCAGCATCTACCGCACTGATAGATGCTCGAAAACTCATCCCATCTGGCATTGAACATAATGAAGAGCGGAGTCAACTTAAGTGTCGGCTAGCAAGAAGCCTACACAATGATCGCGAACAGTGGTGGGTAGCGAAAGCAAATACCTTATGGGCCAGGGTAATCTTGCACTGGTTTTCAGGAGAACCAGACACTATCCAGACTTTCACGCGGCAACCCAGATAGTACAGCTCAATCCCGCTTAACAGGAGAGCTAGACACTGCCCAGGCTTAGCCCAAGCAGTACAGCTCAATCCCACCCTATAGGAGAACCAGACACTATAAAGGCTTTAACGCTACAATCCGAACAGCTCAGCCCAATCCTGTGGCCCAACCACTCAGGTACCAAACACCCTGGTGGACCAAAAAGAGATGGAAAAGGCAGTGGCAATAGGCAACAGCAGACAACTGTTCAGACTTGTTAAAGAAACCGGTATTAGTAACCCAACTGTCGGCGAAACTATCTCGGAAAAAGATGGACATACTATTCATTCGCAATCTAGGAGATTGGATCAATGGGCAGAACACTTTAGGGATAAGTTCAACTGGCATTCAGCTACACTTCGGTTTCCCTCGATCTTCAGTCGACCTGAATGGCAAGTTAATGTAAGTCCTTCAACTCTTTACGAAGTCTAAAAAGCTATAGGAAATCTGGAGTGTGGGAGAGCAGCAGACCTTGACAGGTTTACCCCTGAGAGTTTTGAGGATGGCGGTCCAGTACTAGCAGCGAGACCGATTGAGGTCTTAGGTAGAACCTGGGAACTGGACGTAATTCCATCTGACTGGTCCCAATCACTGATTGTGCCAGTCTATAAGAAAGGACAAAAGTCCTCTTGTGACAATCACAGAGAAATCGGTTTGACTAATATTGCATCTAGAATATTAGCTTCAATAATACTTGGACGCCTAACCAAAGCTCGTGAAGAGCAGACTAGAGAAAACCAGTCTGGTTCTCGATCTGGACATGGTTGTATAGACCAGATATTCACTCTACATCAGGTCCTAGAACACAGACACAAATTCAGATGTCCCACAATCGTAGTATTTCTCGACCTCAATGCGGCATTTTACTCAGTTGATCGTGAGATTCTATGGCAGTGTTTGTCACTTTAAAGAGTACCAAAGAAGTACATTAACCTTATAAATGCTCTCCACTAGAACATAACTTGTTGAGTTAGAGTCTATGGCGAACTGTCATCAGAATTGTTTACCTCAAGTGGTCTTCGTCAGGGCTGTCGACTCACTCCATTCTTGTTTAACTTTATCGTAGATGCGCTTTTAGAAATAACACTTTCCTCATCCAAATTTAGAGGCGTTGAACTTCTCTCAGGAGACTCACTTGTTGACTTAAAATACGCCGATGACGTAGTTCTATTTAGTGAAGACGCTGACAAAATCCAGAGTCTTCTGACCACCATAAGCAACAATGCAGGTATGTTCGGGATGCGATTCCATCCCTCGAAATGCAAAATGTTACTTCAGGATTGGGATGCATCGACACTTGAACTCAGTCAGTCAGTCACAACGCAGACTTCGTACGTACGTACATCAGTTCGAGTTGCCATACTACATTAGCACAGAGAAACAATTGTCGATTCAAATCCTATAGTGGTAGAAGTAGTAAGAGTATAAGCAGTAATCGGAAAGATTAGGGCTTGAAGATGTTATTCAAGGAGTATAATCCAGTGAAATAAATTTGAAAAGAGAAAAACAACAGGGACATGAAGAATTCAGAAGATTAGAAGTTGGTAGAACACAAAGAGTGGATGCACCTTCGCCATTGCAAACGATTTTGAGCCATGTCATTCAAGGTCTCTAACCATCGGTTGCTATCCTCTCACAGATCCCAACCAGGTAGTCTACACCCACCAACATGGCTCAGTCCACTTGTCAGTGACTTCATGGATTTGTGCCACGTTTTGATCTGGCCACCCCTGGCTTTCTTCCAACCTACTCCAATACCATGAAACATTGCACGTCGGGGCAGTCGGTGGTTGGGCATACGTAACACGTGTCCCAGCCATCTCAACTGATGAAGTTTCACTACTTCATCAATCGATTCGCCATCCTTGCTGGGTACCCGTTTCCTAGCGACTGCATTACTTACCCGGTGGTCCCAGGATATACGAGCGATGCTTCGAAGTTGTCACCTTAAGGTCGAGAAATACTACGATTGTGGGACATCTGAATTTGTGTCTGTGTTCTAGGACCTGATGTAGAGTGAATATCTGGTCTATACAACCATGTCCAGATCGAGAACCAGACTGGTTTTCTCTAGTCTGCTCTTCACGAGCTTTGGTTAGGCGTCCAAGTATTATTGAAGCTAATATTCTAGATGCAATATTAGTCAAACCGATTTCTCTGTGATTGTCACAAGAGGACTTTTGTCCTTTCTTATAGACTGGCACAATCAGTGATTGGGACCAGTCAGATGGAATTACGTCCAGTTCCCAGGTTCTACCTAAGACCTCAATCGGTCTCGCTGCTAGTACTGGACCGCCATCCTCAAAACTCTCAGGGGTAAACCTGTCAAGGTCTGCTGCTCTCCCACACTCCAGATTTCCTATAGCTTTTTAGACTTCGTAAAGAGTTGAAGGACTTACATTAACTTGCCATTCAGGTCGACTGAAGATCGAGGGAAACCGAAGTGTAGCTGAATGCCAGTTGAACTTATCCCTAAAGTGTTCTGCCCATTGATCCAATCTCCTAGATTGCGAATGAATAGTATGTCCATCTTTTTCCGAGATAGTTTCGCCGACAGTTGGGTTACTAATACCGGTTTCTTTAACAAGTCTGAACAGTTGTCTGCTGTTGCCTATTGCCACTGCCTTTTCCATCTCTTTTTGGTCCACCAGGGTGTTTGGTACCTGAGTGGTTGGGCCACAGGATTGGGCTGAGCTGTTCGGATTGTAGCGTTGAAGCAATGCTTCGAAGACACCTGTGATCAAATACTAGTAGCCTACGAATATCCTCTACTCTTATCGGCCATTTTTCACTGCCATAAAGCAGAACGGATTGAACTGCTGCACAGTAAACCCGTCCTTTGGTTGCTAGAAGGATATCTCGCCTACGTCATAAATGACGCAAGTTGGCGAAAGCTAGACGAGCCTTCTGTATCCGTGCTGAGACTTCGTCACACACTAGACCACAAGGGCTGATGAGACTCCCAAGATAAGTGAAGTGGTGTACACGCTCAACTACTTCACTACCTATCATTAGTTCAGGTGTCGCTGCGACCCAATCCTGAAGTAACATTTTGCACTTCGAGGGAGAGAACCACATCTCCAACATGCGTGCATAGTTGCTCATAGTGGTCAGAAGGCTCTGCATTTTGCTAGCATCTGACACCTGAACTAATGATAAGGAGTGAAGTTGAGCATGTGTTCGTTATTGTTCTTCTTTTTCTTATACGCACTTAACATTATCTCTTCACATTTCCATTTTTATTGTGTGGTTCATATGTATTTTTTGTCCCTTTGTACCAATATTTTTGTGTTCAAATAAAACAAAAAAATCAATCTTAAGAAATAGCACTAAATAAGACGTATATGAGTAAGCACACATGATTGATCATTGGATAAGCCTTCAAGTTAGATACTTTCACTTATGTAACTCGTTAAATCTTCATTCAGCCAAGTAAAATAAAAATCAGTCATGCTATTTAGGCTTATCAGACAATAAGTATCGTTTAGTATATAATAGTGACAAATTATCAGGCAAACTTAGTTTTTCATGTAACTATTCATCTTTACTAGATTTTCCTCAGTATTTTTTCGTTCTTAACATTTTTTAATTATTTCTTAATAGACGTAGTCATTCTGGAGATCGTCGAAATGCTCGATCCAAACGTGATGATAGTCGTTCGCCAGGTAATCAGAAAAACTATTTAATAAATATTTATTTTAGATCATAAACGTACTCGAGATAAAGATCGTGATCGACGACATTAAATGTTAAGTAGACTCTGATTTATTGTATATACTATGTTAATAAATACTTTTTTGTATAATTATGAGTTAGTTCAGTGTGGCAGATGTTTGAAGGGATATGACAAGAAAATCATATCACGTGATTGTTAGTATTTATTAATATGTAGTGATAGCAGCTCTCAGGCAATTGATATAAAAAACTGATATTTCGGTTATCAGTTGGTTAAAACTTGAAAACAGTGTTTAGTCGATGAAATAAGCTCAAATGACTTCACGGTATTCAGATATCAACTTTATCTTAATATGGTTTCCAGTCACAATTCGAGCGATAGGAAAGTATTTCTACGACGGAAGAAAAGTAATTCATTTATCAATTATGGCTTTAAGTCACATTCGAGATTTAAAGGTTAATGATGCTACCCGATACCAAAGCCAACGATATTGTTACCTGTAACTTAAGATTTGGAAGTAGAGCCCATTAACTACTAATCCATCTTCCTAGGACTGGACATGCATGTGGCATATAGGATGTACTAATTCTGAAGAAACATGGTTTAATTAACTGGAATCACTATTCTAAATTTTATTCTGCTTTTCAACTTACAAGACCTCGAGCCTTACAAAATCGCTGTTGGTAATATTTCCAATGAATGTTGGTGTTTAGACGTCGGTTATCAGTCCATAAAATACTAACTTTTTATCACATTCCAGCACAGCATACTTTAGTTGCTATCATTCAAGATTACCTGTCGCAATAGAAGGGTATTTCAAATTCCTGAATTTTATAATTTACAGTCTCAGTTTTGCATAAATATCAATAGCAACTCAATTTCAGATAAAATGAGTGCTTTGAAAGACTCAGCTTACAGCCTTGTTTTCAATGTCACAATGCTGTATTTCAGTAAACCTGATGCAGTTGTTGCCAAAATAAAACCACTCATTAATAGCGCTATGAATAATATTTAAGTAATCGATTCCCGAGCATATAATAAAACCCTCTGTAAATACTGCACGCTTTCCACTGTATTATTACCGGACACATTTCCAGTAAGCGGCCTGAATTGTTTTTTTTCAACTATTGAGGGATAGGTTACAGTCATTAGGAAAGTATCGCATACTTCTGATTATGTAGTCGAGTCACCGGGTTAACCCATAATAGCTTTACGATAAGAAGCAAATGATTTGAATCCTGGCGGGGTTTATTTGGATGGTAGGTGAGGATAGGAGGTAGTTAAGTGGTAATCAGTAATATTATATCATATATTTCATTGAGATTTACGAAGGTCTTGAAATAGATTTTTTTAAAGGTTATAATGAACATTCGTCAAGGTATATCACACCAATGAGGGTCCATTAATTATTTAAAATATTCCTAATATCCCTAACTTTATTCGCTAGTGTTCATCCATACCAGTTTTATTAATTCAAAATTGCTGGAGCGGATCATCTAACGAACTAGTATCCGCAATTTTCTATTTGAACAAAGTAAAAACGACAGTATTTACAAACCGCAGTAAATTCATTGCATTTTGTTGCTTTTGCTTTATATATATATAAATATATATATATATATATATATGAAGTGTGAAGGAAATTTTTTAACTGGGCTCTGACGACTGTTTGGGTTCATAGTTCTAGAATATTAGAGACAACTTTATTACGTTAGTTAACAAACATTTGTAGGTAATTTAAGAAGTAAAAATGTACGCATGGCAAACCGTTAAAATATGTCGTATAAAACTACAAGTTTATTTAGTCTATGACTTTAGCAAGTTTAGTTTTTTTATTGTTGCTTACTTAAATAAAGACATAGTCAATGTATCTTTAAATTCCTTATTTCCAATAATCCTTTATTTCATTACGAGTAAATAAATTCCGTCAATCTTATCTACATTTTTTGTTCTGTTCTAACATGATACACTTTATGTTGAGAAATCACATTTGATTTCACAAACTATACTGAGATGGTTAAGATTGTCGGACTGGTTGTGCTGGTTAGTGTAAACTCAAATTCCAAATTAATAGATAAGCGATTCACTAGCTATCACTAGACAATTAGAACTCATACATATTAAATATTAGATTGGGGTGATATATTTTGTGAGATAATAATTTATCAATCAAATGATGAGAATGATTGAATAAAATAGTGATCCTTTGCTTCTGCTTACTTTCCCCACGAAGTAATGAGTGACCTTTCACGAATGTGTGTTTAACATGCTTGTTTTTTTCTGCATATCGTCCATCTTTTGTACTTCTGACTTTGCACACAGGTTACTTATGAGGTGTGATACCTCTGTGAGTCTCAGCAATGCACTAATTTATTTGGTCATCGATCATACATACTGTTATATCTAGAGCTTTGATTCTTGCTATGGCGCGTACTACTAGACTACTTGAACGATCGAACCTGCAACGTCATAAGAGAGAAGACTACTAAGTAAGATTTTATTCCCCTTAAAACTGTCAAATATGGTACAAAAATCTCATGTATTTATAGTTCTTGGCTAAAAGTGAATCATCATTTCGGATAGCCAATAGGCACATAGGGAGTCATTCTTATCCATCCAATAGGGAAGCTACACGTCGACATTCTAGAACGTTCCCTTAGTGGTGATTGGATGGAATGTCTTCGGCTCTTTCTAGGCTTCTTGAGTTTGCCAACGGGCCATGTTTACACATACTCATGTTAAGTCCATCTTTAAACTAATCAATATATGAATTGTATTTAGCAAACAAGGTTTTTTCAATGTATCAGTAAGTTATTTCTGAGATCTGATAAGTAATTCACGTCTCAATTTTAAAATCAGTCCTAACTCATAATATAGTATTGAATTGGCAAGATCATCCACATTTTGTAACGAAGAGAATATTTCACAGTGTATATCTTAAACGGTCTGAGTGCCAGGTCCAGTCTGACTCGTCCTTGCCTTGACTATTTATCACCATGAGCTAGCAAGCTTAGATCAATCACTTCTCGATATATTGATAACCTATCAAATATATATTAGGACCTCTTCGCTTTTGACTTCACTCGGTGTGCACGTTTCAAATATAGAAGGTATTATTGGTTAACGTGTTGTCAAACTCCAAATACTTGGGGCATCTTCAACTTTTTGTGATAAATGGGTTTTAGCTTTCATTCTTTATCCATCTTTGATACAGTAAATGACTATTGGGTGTGGTGAAGTAATTATATTCTATCCTTTTTCATTAGGAAATAAAATGGTTACATTTATGACGTCTCTCAGTTGGTTTGCATCTAGCTTAGAGGTACGTAGAGTAAAATGTGTGTGAGAGAGAACCTAGAAGTAAAAAGGACAAGAGAAGAAGTGATCTGAGGCAGATAGAATACACACACCTAAGAATGATAGGAGTCAGGGTCTATTAAAGATCGAAGATGGTGGGATCCGATAGTAACTGTTAGTTATGTCTGTAACTAGTCAGTCAGATCGCTGCTAAGACACCCACCGCGTCGACCTGGTTTGATATGTTTGTAGACTATCACTGTTGCATGTGACTTACCAATTGAAGGACATTGTTCTATCGCATTAAAGTGGCTGGAACTCATATTTTTTATTCATTATGATTGGACGAGATATTGGTTGCTGTGTTTGTGCGTTCCACTTAATGCCTACAATTTTTTCAATTATTGTACTAATCGAATATTTTTTACTTTTAGAAGCAGATGAAGTTTAAAGTCAAGTTGTTCTTGTTCTGACCATAGCTTTCACATAGACCCTGGGTCTTCATTATCACGTTTACAGTCCCGATAAAATATCCGTAAGATAAATTAAATCCTGAAGTGCACATGTGTCTGTATCTCCTGTTATTTCTCTTCAAATTTTTACATCGGCGTATAGTAGCACCGTGAACTCAACTGTTCTTAGAGACTTATGTACATACAGTATAAAAAGTATAGGACCCAGGAGAGAGCCTTGAGTTACTCCACCAAGTGTTGGATTCCAGCAGTGGCTTTTGGAATTTGTTCTTGATTTCTGTCTACGATCTACCAAGAAATCATTGGTTCACTTTTGGAAAGGTCTGGCAATCCTTAGATTTTCCAACTTCAAAACCCAGTCCCCCTATTTTGCGGAAATCCCCAAATTCCAATGAAAATTGGCGGCTTTCTCCAAAGTTTAGGGAGGAACCCTAAACCAATGGTCTTGTCCGAATTTTCCCCAATGTTTATGGGAAAACCCCGAAATTCGTGTTGTGCAGTTTTCCGGACAAACAGCTAATAACCAGTGCACTTATTAAACCTTTCAGGACGAAATTACAGTTAATAATTTTCAATATGATCATGAACTTCAGTCAGGATTACATTACCGGCATTTATGTTATGTTTTAGTGTGTCAAATAAACACGAAAAGAAGTATCGGTTTCACTCATCTTTTTTAAAAGCCTCACTTCGTGCTGGTGAGTTTATACTGTCAACGGTTTCGATTACTGCTTCTGTTCAGCCTGACTACAGTTAGTTGTTTCCTTCAGACTAATAGTGTGGAACGTGGTGAAAGGGACAAAAGGCTAGTTACAGCCAACAGTGTCAGACTTGACGGACTGCCATCGACCGACCTTTTACAGAAGTTTGAGGAAGTTAAGGTCCGATTTTGAGAAAAGGTACCAGTTAACAACCACTGGTTATGAAAACTACAGTTCATTTGATGTAGAAAAAGTAAGCCATGCCATAGCTGCAGGGCGATGTAGCAGTATTGTCCCAGAATCAGCCGCTGCCTCTTGTAGTTACGTCTATTGTGCACCGAGCGCAACAAACGGTGTAGCCTATGTTTCTTTATTAACAAATTGTAGACGGTGCCACTACTTAAGTGTCTTCGTCTGTCCATCCCTCAATGAAGCAACGGCTAGACAGAGTCGTAATTGAGGTGATGAAGGAAAGTGACATAACTATAAAGAAGGCCAACCGAATTCTGGTCCTTTTTCAGATGTACATTACTCCCCATGTCCGCCCGAAGCGTGCTAAGTCGCTGCCATAATATGGAACCCAAGTTTCTGGACACATGGTGTACTACCACACTGCATTGAAAACACGTTTGGTTAGGATCTCTGAAAAATGGCTACTCAAAATCAATTTCAGCCGATTG